GGTGGGGGTCCAAAGGATGCTATAGTGTCAGGAAAACTAGTTTGTTTTCCTGACACTATAGTGATCCTTTAATAAAACCAGCTAATGACTAAACAGGGTTGAGAGTGAAGAGGTTAAAACATCAAATGTGCAGCTAGGCAAGAAGATAAGGAAGGTGCAAGCAGGGATAATTTCTTAGCATAAGAAAAAAAAAAAGCCTGGGAAAATAAATGTACTACTTTTTTTTAATACGGAATAATTTATTAATTGATTTCACAGCTTTCTACACTGTGTGTATATAACATATATGTATATATTTCAATGTATTCATGTGTCTGCTCGAAATGTAAGTTATATTAAATGAATGTAAGGTCTAATTCTCAAAACTAAAGAATAGTGTAAATTATCAAGGAACAAATAAATGCAACATTTAGACCCTAACAGACAAACGGAAAAAAGTTCTGTAACACTGTTATATTGGTTGCTGATTTAAGGCAAAAATGTGCAAGTCGTAAAACTTTCCAATTTTAGACCAAATAGCCCGAGTTGAAAGAGAGCCGACTTGGAAATTTTTTCCTGTGTGGCTATTTTGTCCTAAAACCTTTACTTGGAGTTCTTAAGAAACCACACTTTAGTGAATAACTTGCCTGAGACCTTTTGGGATCTTTACTGGTTCCACTAACGGGGTAACCGGCAGGAGGGGAAGCACAGCGTGGCCGAGCTGCAGACAGCGGTAGAGGAGGTTCTGTTCCTCTACCCATTCTGACGGGAAGTGCACAGAACGACTTCCTGTCAGACCGAGCACAGTGAGCAGGAGCTCATCTACATTGGTTCGACCAGGAGGTACAGGTTGGGCTATGGAGTAGGAAATGGGACGCGTGGAGAGGCTGGGAAGGAAGGGGGGGAGAAGTGGGACACATGGAAAGGAAAGGCTGGGGAGGGGAATGGGACACAAAGAAGCTGTGGAGGATGAATGGGACACATTGAGAGGCTAGGGAGGGAAATGTGACATATTGAGTGGCATGGGAGGGGGGAAATGGGACACATGGAGAGGCGGTCAAGAGGAATGAATGAGACACGCAGAGGGCTGGAGGATAGGACACATAGAGGTGCTTGAGACACACGGAGAGAACTGAGGGGGTGAATGAGACACATGGAGTGGCACAAAGACATACTGAAGGGCTTGGCAGACAAAACACACAAACACAGAAAACTGGGGGGACAAAAAAAAAAAAAAGGAACAGAGGGGCGAGGAGCCAAACAAACAGACACACACAGGGGGGTAAAAAAAACAAAAACACACACCAGACGCATAAAGGGGATGGGGGAAGCAAGAGGTCCACAGGGTCCGCCCTGGGTGCCAAATGCTCTAGGTACGCCCCTGACTCATACGTGCAGTCTCAGCATGCAGTTGATGGTGCAATAGGATAAAATAGCTTATGTTAATGGCTTTGGCAGAATCCCTCATACTCTAATAAAAACACATATCTACCTCCCAGATCTAAGCCTGAATGTTTTTAGTTATTTGTTCTGTGTGTTATGACTAAGAGGAAGAGTTTTCAGAGTGCTACTGTGGTGTAAATACAATGCATTGCATGGAAGATTATACCCTACACAGTGAACTGAAGAGAAATGAAAAGGGAATTTGAAATTTTTTAAAATCTTTGATAATTTCACATGAAATTTGCAATTCACTTGAGGATATACCATAATATTTGGATTTAGTGCAGTTATTCTTAACTATTTAACCCAAAACATGCACAGCATTCTATCACAATGACCTAGTTTTGCACAATTAACTCAGTGACATGTTCACGTGTAATATAATCAACATTAAAATACATTTTGCAAGACTGCTTAGATTCTTGTTCAGTGCTGCCCAGAGGGGTCGGCATTGTAGAGGGAAAGGCAGTGCCACTACAGAAAACGACTTATTGTAGGTAGTGGTGGCATGGATGATGATGAATATGGAGTGTCTATTTTAATCAAGTAGTCTTCATGGCATTAGAATACCGATGGTATGTGGGCATGAACTCCCATGTAATTTGTTTGAGCCAGTGTGATACTAAAAGGTTAATAAATTTTACGCTATTCCTGGTAAAGTACATAAATACATATATCATAGCAGGTTTTAATGAGCAGTAAGTGCAGAGTCTAATGCCTCTATGCCATGATACATGCATTTTACAGCATTGACCTATTTACTAAAAGTTCCATTCTTCATTTCCAGTATTTGTCAACTATTCTTCCCAATATAAACTCAATTTGTTATGGTTTTACAGCAAAAGGATGGTAATACAGCTGGGGTGGCAAATGGCGGATCACCAGCTACCAGTCAAAAGATTGCGATAATGATCACCTATCTATACGAGTAGAAGAGTGCGGGTATGGCCACCTGTTTGTATTAATGTATGCCTGTGTATATGTGAGAATGTGGCTATGTTCGGGTCTTTATTGGTTACAATTGAGGTATAAAATGCCTGGATGTGTATATATTTGAGGGCAGGCATGACAGGCCTGCATGGCTCAGTGAATGTATCTGCAGGTTGTATTTTTGAGAGAGTATGACAACCAATCTATCCATATCTACGGGAAAATTAATTTCTGCCTCTCTGTGAGCATTAAGTCTATGTGAGAGAGTGATATAACCACCTAAGTTTTAGAGAACGGGGATCTGACACTGTATATGAACATCTGGGAGAAAGGGGGTAAGACCGTTTGTGTACATGTATGGAAAAATGATGGTAAAAAAGTGTGTATGTCCATATGAGAAATGGGGGTAAGACAGAGCATATGCATATATGATTGGATTGGGGGGGGGGCCGGGACACAATGTGACAATGTATGACTGTATATCATTTCTGTTATTTATACCAAAATGCTGCTATGCAAACTACTACAGCATAAATAAGTGGCCGATTTATTTGACTATGCTAGAATAAGGGTACTAATGAGATTGCTGACACAAAAGTAGATTCCAGGCCATCAAAATCTGGCCTCCCCTGGTATACAGCTCTCATAAACAGCTTTGGAATTCCAACAGTTACTGCTTGTGCTGTAATGATCCCATCTCATCCCTGACCTGCTGCCCCACAGGACAACACAACAGGTTAATTTAAAGGAACAGAGCTTACTCTAACGTAGAAAATACATGCTAACATAAATCACCAGAAAAATATAATCATGTCATCGAAAATAAATCAGAATAGGGACTCTTCAATGATACATGTCACACAAGAAAGCATGGAGACGCAAAGCTTGCAGACTAAGTGCAACCTGCGGATTCCCAACAAAAATACTAGATAGAAACAAAAACCATAACAGGCAGCTTGCCAAATAGTTTTCAAAAACTAAATGCGGTTAATTCCACTATACAACCTACTAAATGGAAGCACGATGAGTGATTTATGGGGCAGATTAACGTATCCATAAATTGATTGATTGATTGATGCGATCGGGGCTGTGGCTACACGCAACAGCTTGTTGAATTCTGCAGTAAAATCAGTTGACCCCGTTCCAGTACTGAATTATGATCAGTACATTATATGATCCTTTTACCTGAAGGTAACCACTCCACGTTCTATCGAAGGTACCCAATCCACGCCACGTTCTATCGAAGGTACCCAATCCACGCCACGTTCTATCAGTGATCCCACAATGAAGGTCAGTGATCAGCGTGGAACTTTCATCTCACATTGTATACGGTGCGCTCGCTGGATAGAATGTAACAACCACTGACTCCCAGACAAGCAACTGCAGGCAGCCAGGCACACAACCTCCCTCTCTCAAACAGCAGCTCCCAGCAGTCAGGACTGCCCCACAAATTGGCAGCCACACCCCTGCAATGCTAGGACTGGGGGCTGCTCATTTACATGGGATGACCTCTCACTGCCCCCCCACTAAGATCCTCTCCCCCTCCTATTCACTGATCAGAGCATGGAAATGAACTCTGCCCATTGAGTTTGTAATAAATAGATTCGATATAGATAGGGCACACAAATACCAAGCGATTTGCATTGACATCATTTTCCACATACAATATGTATACATAGAGTGTGTGTACTAGTAATGCACCAATAATTAGTAGCTTATTCATATTTTATAACAAGATTTGCAGGTTTTTACCTAAGACCAGCCTCAGAAAATCTGTGTCACATCAAAGTGTAAAATATTAATATTCTAGGCTTTTAATGTGTTTATTTTTTTTTCTTCAAATATAAGTCTCTGGGGAATTTTTTACTGGGGAATTGCCAGAGAAATTAAAATGCATGTTACAACCCCTGTGTAGCCCCCATCTTCCCCTCCCCACCATATTAGGAGAGAAGCATGAATTATATACCATCTCTCATTAGCAAAAAGTTGTGTACTTTATATGTTTCATTAATGTATTACATTTGCGTTATCCCCTAGCGAAAACTAAAAAAAGGAATTTAGAGAAGTTAAATTATTTCCATCTATTTATGTCATATATATGACAATACTGCCCTGTTGACCTCATAATACACATGCATTCACAGTCTTTATATAAAACCATGTTGCACCTTGGAACAATTCTGCTTATGATGACATCACTTGCTGACCTCACAGTTTACCCATAGACTTCCAATTGCTACTAGTCTACAATGTCATTTGTAAGTGAGGCTGGCATGGACTGTTAGGAGACACAGTTAAGGTGAGGAAAGAAAATGGAGGTTTATGCAATAAACATCACATTTTAATGGATTAAAAACAGAATTTTAGTATTATAGCCAAGGTGGAGATTTTTAAAAATGTTTAATTGTTAGCTAATTTTTAAAATAAGATTTTCATTTCATTCCAATTCACTATTTACTAAATAAAAATCCATGTATGATGTATGTGTCAGTTTAACCCCTTAAGGACTGGACTGTTTTTGCGATGTTGTACATTTGCGACCAGGAATATTTTTACACTTTTCTGGTGTTTGTGTTTGGCTGTAATTTTCCGCTCTCTCATTTACTGTTCCCATACAAATTATATATTATTTTTTTCAGGACAAAAGGGGCTTTCTTTACATACCATTATTTATATAATCTCATGTATTTTAATTTAAAAAAAATAAAAAAATATGATAAAAAATTGAAAAAAATACATGTTTTTTGACTTTTACTTGAAAAATCTTTTACTCATCTACAAAAGCGAATGAAAAAAACTGCTAAATAGATTCAAAATTTTGTCCTGAGTTTAAAAATACCCAGTGTTTACGAGCTTTTTTGCTTTTTTTTGCATGTTATAGGGCTATAGGTACAAGTAGGATATTGCAGTTTCAAAACATGCATTTTTAAAATTTATCAATAGTGACATTGTAACACTATTATCTGTCATAAATCTCTGAATAACACCCCACATGTACATATTTTTTTTAAAGTAGACAACCCAGGGTATTCAATATGGGGTATGTCCAGTCTTTTTTAGTAGCCACTTAGTCGAAAACACTGGCCAAAGTAAGCATTCATATTTGTTTGTGTGTGAAAAAGTAAAAAAACTAAATTGAACGCTAATTTTGGCCAGTGTTTGTGACCAAGTGGTTACTAAAAAAGACTGGACATACCCCATTTGCAATACCTTGGGTTGTCTTCTTTTGCAAATGGTATGCCATCATGGGGGTAATTCTCATTCCTGGGCTACCATACGCTCTCAAAGGCAACGTAACCAACCTGGCCATTTTCAATGTAAAATATTTGACCCATATATTTGACCTTGTAACTTTCAAAAATGCTATAAAACCTGTACATGGGGGGTACTGTTTTACTCAGGAGACATCGCTGAACACAAATATTAGTGTTTAAAAACTGGAAAACGTATCACAACAATTATATCATCAGTAAAAGTGCTGTTTGTGTGTGAAAATGCAAAAAAAGTACTTTCACTGACAATATCATCGCTGTGATATGTTTTACTGTTGTGAATCACTAATATTTGTGTTCAGCGAAGTCTCCCGAGTAAAACAGTACCCCCCATGTACAGGTTTTAGGGTGTCGTAGAACGTTACAGGGTAAAATACAGTGCTAGCAAATTAAATTCTCTGGAATTTCGGCCTGGGTTGGCAGGCAGGTCCCTCAAATTGTAATCAATAAAATTACTGAATTATGTAAAAATATTATATAAATACGCACGTAGAATTTAAATATATATGCATATTTATATATTTGAAGTCTACGTGTATATTTATATAATTATTTATGTAATTTTGTATATGGACGTATGTATATTTCTTATTATTTTTATTTATTTTTATATACATAGATATATACAAATTCATTCTAAGTGTATTTTGATATAAATATATATATATTAATTTTAAAATACAGTTAGAATAAAATTTCATATAGCTATATAATTTTTTTTAAAATTTTTATTATTATTTTTAAAAATTTTTATTTAATTTAAATTACTTATTATTTATATTTTATAATAATATATATATACAATATATATAGTTATTATATATATTATATATATACGTGTGTAATTTAATTATAAGTGTATTTTTATTTTAATATAAGTACATATTAATATAAAAATACACTTAGTATGGTATTATATATATGATATATAGACATATATTATATAGATATAATATATGTCTATATATCATATTTATACATATATAATTATTATTATTTTTTTTTATTACCATTAACTTTAATTTTTTTTCTGATTTTACAGTTGCAGGGAGACTGCCTGTCAGTACAGACAGTCCCCCTGCAGGCAGCACTATGGACACCTATTGTGACCATGTGATCGCTGTGTTAAGCGATCACATGGCCACAGGGGTCATAATCTGCCGTGGGGAGACTGTCTGGGCTGCAGGCAGTCTCCCCACAACCGGAGGAACACTGATCGCCGCCGGGGGAACGACGGCGATCAGGTAAGTAGCCCCAGACCGTTTGGACGGTTCAGGACCGTCATCGGTCGGCAAGGCAAAAATGCCGATGACGGTCCTGAACCGTCCTCGGTCCTTAAGGGGTTAATAGGGTTTCATGGCTGCTAATATTTCTGGGGCTGATGTAGCTAGTTTGTACGAAATGTAAACAATTGCTTTCTTAAAAACTATCTGCAATACATACAAGTCACAGGCCAAGGAACAGCAGAGGAGGTCAGGGCAGGTCTGTGACCAGTTCATTAGCATGTACTTCTACCTGTGGTGTCAACCAAGTAGACATAACCGGTGATAGTTGTGTAGCATAGCTGGGAAGTGTTGTTGATATGATACAGTGTGACCAGGTGGAATGTTTCCTTTACATGTTGTCACACAAAACACTTTGTGTGACAAAACACTTACCTGACACATGATCAGGGGCATTACTAGATGGCAAAAAGACCAAGGCCTTCAGCCCAAAATATATTTAATTCCCCTCTGCCCAATCTTCACCCAGTGCCCTACCACAAACATACATACATATACACACAATGAGGTTCTTACTGGCTCACACACAGTTACACATACACAAACAATGTGACAAAAACAAAAGCACACACTTTTACACATATACACAATCACACACTCACAAATATACACAGTTGCACATATAAACAGTCATACAGTCCGATACAAAGAATCTGTTACACATACACTGTTATACATACATACACATATACACACTCAAACACTCACCGATACACAAAAACTGTTACCCATACTCACACAAACACACACTGTTACACAAATACACACAATATTACAAATATACACACATACACTCATAGATACACACAATCCGTTACATAAACATTGTTATTTCCCCACAGCCTTTGGCAATCTTTCTCTGGTGGTCCAGTGCATCTGCTCTACACCTCCTCCAGATGCAGGCAGTATATGTTTCCCATGAAAGCTCCGACATTCATATCGTTGCTGTGGTAACCCCGTAGCAACACTCTGAACAGCTGGAGCTCATGGGTGCCAGGCCGGTGATCTGCTCTTGGACTGTGTTCATTGGCTGAGAGTGCTCAAGGATGGTGGCACTGCAATGCCCTGCTTAGCTCTGTAAAGCCAACAGCTTCTCCTGCAGGAGAAGACGAAATGCAGGGTATGCAATTGCAGGACCCAGGTAAATTGTAAAACTGTAATAAGACAGTATGCATAAGTACCATAACCACTTTGGTGGACTACAGTGCTTATGGTGCATGGAATAATCCTTTAGTAAACTGCAGTGTGACTGTGTTATACTGACAACCAAATTGCAACATTTACAGTGAATCTTTCATGGCAGGTTCACTTAAACCCCTATAATTTATTATAGTCTTGGTTATCTCCTCTGCACTCTCACCCCCCAAAAAGCTTAAATTTATAATTCCAGTGCTGAGGCCAGCTTCTCCCTCAGCTCACTCTTCCTCCTCTCACTTCATTCCCCTTTACTGGTTGGGAAGGGAATGCAGACTGCAGGGAGGTAGAGGGGTGCTGTGCCACCATTGATTGTTTGGCACCTGCTTGCTGTGCATCCTGGGTAATTTTGCTCAGAATTGACATTAATCAGCCTGGAGCATAATTGTAATGACATCCATGCTCTGCACCTTTTTGACAGTGTCATGAACGGGAGGGGCATAGTCATTATCACATAAAGTGCAGACATGCAAAGGGTGAGTAACCTGATGCAAAAGTTTAATAGAAAAATCTAGTTGCCATTGTCTGATTTAATACACACTGAGACACATACAGATACAAACAATGACATACGTCCAGATACAGACACACATACAGATACACAGATACAAACACTGACACATATCTAGATACACAGATAAACACACTGACACACATGCAGATACACAGACACATATATACAAACACTGCTGCAGATACACAGACACACAGAAGCAAACACTGACATAAATGCAGATACATCGGTACACAAACACCAGAACACTTACAGATGCACAGACGCACAGACACCAACACTGACACACATGCAAATACACAGATACAAAAACTGATGTTAAACTTGCTTTGTGCTATTTTGTTTACATGCATAACCATTTTTATTCTACAATAATTTTTGAATACTCATGCGAAGATGCATTTTGCACACCTCCCCCCAAAATGTGTCTCTTAACCTTCTTTTCAATTTCTTACTTGCTTTTGTGTTTATCTCATCTGGTGAATGTCTTACCACGTTTTGTGTATCTTACCACCCCTTTAGTGTATCTTATACCTTATGTTTGCCTTTTGTGTCTTTCACCTACGTTGTGTGTCTCTTACTTTCCCCTTTGTGCGTCTTACTTTCCTCCAGCCTCTTATGTCTCTTACTTCCCCAGTCCCTTTGTGCGTCTTTCTCTCCGTATCCTCTCTCTGTGTCATTGTCCCCTTCCCAGCCTCTCAGTGTGTCACTGTCCCATCCTCCAGTCCCTCAGTTTGTCATTGTCCCATTCTCAGCCCCTCTGTGTCGTTATACACTTCCCAAGCTGCTCTGCTCCACCAGACACTCTGTCTCTTTTTCTTCCCTCCCAACTCCTCTGTGTGTCTTTTTTCTCCTTCCACAGCCCCTCTGTGTGTCACTGTGCCCTTCTCAGCCCTCTCTGTGTTATTGTCACTTTCTCAGCCCCCCTGTATCATTATCCCCTTCCCCAGCCCCTCTGTTTGTCTCTGTTCCCCTAGTGGGTGCAGTGTGTATGTGTAGTGGATTATGTGTGTAGTGGCCGCTGACTCGCCAGAGTTGGAGATAGAATCTTGAAGCTGAAGATCGTGTGTGCTCTACAGGCTGCTGGGGGTCTGCAGAGGCAGTGGTGGAACTAACGTAGAGAGGACCCTGGTGCAAGAATGTTTTTGGGCCCCCTCTAGCACAAGGTTTTTCATAATGTAGATCTCCATCTGTCTTCCAAGTCCCAGAATGATTTGCCAGCTTTATTTAGCACCAAGCAGTGTTTGTGTGTTTGAATGTAAGCATGTTTTGGTGTGGAGTATGTATGTGTGAATGTTGTGTTTGAATGCAGGCGTGCATTTGTCTGTAGTGTATACATTGTCACACACACTGATATACATACACTCGCACACACTGACACACATACATGCAATTACAAAGACACACAGATACACACACTAACACATAGTTAAACCCACACATACACACACTGACAGATACACAGACAGACTCCGATACACACACATATACTCAAGTACACACTGACAGGTACACAAACACACAGATATACACACATACACTCAGGTATACACTGACACACACAGATACTGACACACACATTTTTTAGCCACCCTCCTGGTTCTTCCCTTTTGGGTGCA